TCCTCACCTTAAAATTAGGGGTTGGGACTGGAAGGTGTCTGAGCTCCCGCCCAGTGCTGTGGGTCTGGAGCGATGAATGCCAGTCATTCATTCACAGTTGCAGATGTACCTAGAGCCTGGATGGGTCTCCAAAACACTTCCTTCTGGGCAGCAAGTCCCCTCAAGATAAAATTAAGGCTCAAAGAGTAGCTTGATGAGCATAAAATTTAGAACACAGGGAGTTGATTATCGTCAAGGAGTATTTCTGTTTAGTTGTGAGAAGTAACATGAGGGATTCTGGTCAAAATTCTTTTCTGCTCAGAAAGAGGATTTTTATTGAAAGTACTAGACAAAAAACCTACATCCAGAGTCCTCCATCCTCCCATAATGGAAACGCTGGCTGCTGTTCACTGACTATTTCTATTCTTTTTCTTAGACCTTTTCTGTTACTTCATCCCATGTTCAAATCACAGTGACTAGACTTCAACTGTCTTTAATCACACCCCTTTGTAATGAACAATAGTGATACAAATGTAACTACATTCCAAACAAAAATAAACTTACAAAGGAAGTTGTTATAGATTGAATTCTGTCCCCCAAAAATTTGTGTTGTAAATCCTAACCTCTTTGCCTGTGGTTATAATCCCATTTGGGAATGGGTTGTCTTTGTTATGTTAATGAGACAGGATTAGTATAGGGTGTGTCTTAAATCAATCTCTTTTGAGATATAAGAGATTAAACAAGCAAGCAAGAGAAGCAGAGATAGGGGAATAGAGATGCCAAGCCACATGAAGATTGCCCAGGAGTAGAAGCTCAAAAGAAACAAGGACCTTCCCCCAGAGCCAACAGAGAGGGAAAGCCTTCCCCTAGAGCTGACACCCTGAATTTGGACTTCTAGCCTCCTAAACTGTGAGAAAATAGATTTGTGTTTGTTAAAGTCACCCACTTGTGGTATTTCTGTTATAGCAGTACTAGATAACTAAGACAGGAGTCTTTTTTTGGAAGATTTGGAAAGAACGTTTGAAATTGGGACTGTCCTGAAATCGTGCATGGGTAAAAGAGCCTTTCAAAGTGCCAGATAGGTCAGCAGATTTTAAAGTAACCGGGTATATTACACTGGTATGGTTTCAGACTCCAGCCAACCTTTAACAGACTACCATATCCTGAATTTCAGTTTAATATCAAAGAAGGGTATCCATGCTTATCTGAGAAAGCTACTAAAATACTCCTCCCTTTGCCAATGGCATATCTGTGTGAGGCTGGATTTTTTCCATATATTTCAACCAGAATAACAGATTGCAACAGATGAATGCAAAAGCAGATATGAAAATTTAGCTGTGAGATAAGAGAAGATTTTGCACCCATGAAGTAAGAATACAAACATAAGCCAGAAACAGCCAATGAGGGGAAAAAAAGACTTTGAAATTAAAACTTAGGTAGTAGAAATGAAGAAAATTCAATGGAAAATAAAGTTGGTGAAATCTCCCAGAGAACAGAATAAACGAGAAGACAGAAAATAGAGAAAGGATTAAAAAGTATATATAGAGAGAGAGTGAGGATCAGACCAGGAGATCCAAAATGCAAATAATAGGAGCTTCAAAAAGAGAGAGAAGAAGAAATATCAAAGACATAACTTAAGAACAGCGGTTCACAAGCTTTTTGATCCCTATATCTCTTTATTTGTTGTTAGTTGCCATCAGGTTGATCCCAACTCGTGGAGACCCCATGTGTGCAGAGTAGAACTGTGCTTCATAGGATTTTCAAGATTGTGGTCTTTTGGAAGCAGATCACCAGGTCTGTCTTCTTAGATGCCTCTGGGTAGGTTCAAATTGCCAGCCTTCTGGCTAACAGTAGAGCACGTAACCGTTTTTGCCACCAGGGACACCTTCAGTATCTCTTACACACTTAAAAATTACTAAGGACATAGAGCGCTTTTGTTTATATTTTTTTTTATGTTTTATTTATATGTTGCTTAATATGTAACAAAGCAAAAGTGAGAAATTGTTAAAATATCAATTAAGCCTACATATTTTTATGAAAAATAATTTTACCACTCTTCTCACTAAATTTCATTTTGTTTTCTTTTGGAATTGTTCTATATTTTTACAAATGTCTTTACTGTCTGATGTACTGGAAAACTGCTGTATTGTCACATCTGCTTCTGCATTCTGTCTGCTGTGATATCCCACATCATGAGATCTCTGGAAAAGTGTACTGTCCTCTCATGAGAGAATGAAAAACCAATAGCGTCTATGTATTTTTCTGAAAATAGCGTCTGTGTTGATCTCCTCAGAAGGTGTCAGGACCCCCAAGGTCACTGGACCACACTATGAAAAACTGCCACTCAAGAACATTTCCCAGATTTTCAGTTTGGCTCAATTCATGAATAAAGACCTGCCCCAAGACCTACCATCACATTTCAAAATTATGGTGACAAAGTCAAGACTCTAAAAGCTTCCAGAATAAAAACAAGTCACATAGAAAGGATCAGGAATCAGAATGACGTTAGACTTCTCCACAGCAACATTAGAATTTATAAGACAACAAGTAGTCCTCTGAATACACAGAGAAATTGACTTCCAACCAAGTATTCTGTATCCACTGACATTATCAACCAAGTGTGATCAGAGGACATTTTGAAACATGAAGAGTCTCAGAAAATTTACCTTCTATTACACATGAGGAGCCTTGATGGCACGGTGGTTAAAGCAATTGACTGCTAACTGAAAGGTTGGTGTTTTGAAACCACCAGTGGCTCCATGGCAGAAAGATGGGGTAGTCTAGATTTATACCCTTGGAAACCCTGTAGGATCACTGTGAGTTGGAATCAACTCGATGGCAGTGAGTTTGTTACACATGGGGTCACCATGAGTTGGAATCAACTCAACAGCAGCTGGTTTGTTTTTTAAAAAATATTATTACCCTTAATCAGAAAGCTACTAGATGTTGTCATCTCCCAAATGAAGGAATACATCCCAGAAGCTATGTAAGAAACAAAGCATCCCACACTAGAGATAGGTGAAGGGCATCGTCAGGAAGGCCTTGAAGAGAGACCAGCAGGCCTGGAGAGCACTGTCCAGGTCTCAGCAGAAGGACAGGGGGCGCCAGGAGGGAGGTCACCAAGAAGGAAATGTAATCGATAGATTATTGGATGTTTGAACACAGTGAAATGAGTTTAACACTTCTGGTACAAAGTTTGAGGATAAATTAGTGGTGTGTGCTTTGAAAACAAAGCAAAGAAATGAGAAAATTTTAACTCCAGGGAAAAGAAACTTTTACAAGAAAGGAAATGTGATCATGATATACCCCAGGATTCAGCTGGGAATAATATTTACATAGTCTTAAAAATGTGAGCGTTGACTTTTAATCTAATCAAATTTCATAATAGAACTAGTCAGAAGATGGGAGGAGAGGAAGTTTGGGGAAATTAAGAAGTAAGCAACCTCTAAAACTGAAAAATAATGAAAATGCAGTATCAGCCTACCTAGAAATACAGACCTAACACACTGCAGAAACAGCTTAACAGTTGAAAATGCTCTTGAGAAGTAGCAATTGAGAATGAGAAGTAGAAGGCAGGAAACTGCTTGCTTTTATCATCATTCCTGTAGAATTATTTAATTTTTATTAAATACGTAGCATTAAAAAACCAAACCTGTTGCTGTTGAGTCAGTTCCGACTCATAGCAACCCTATAGGACAGAGTACAACTGCCCCATAGAGTTTCCAAGGAGTGGCTGGTGGGTTCGAATTGCTGGCTTTTTGCTAAGCAGCTGAGCTCTTAACCAGTGTGCCACCAGGGCTCCAATATGTTGCATGGTGGTGATTAAAATACACACTTAAAGTATTAAAAATGTGCATTAATATAATGTATATGGAGTGCAATTCAGAAGTATGTTAACGTTTGTACTAAGAATAGCCTTTGACCTAGAAATTCCACTTATATGATTTTATCCAACAGTGGGAGATTAAATTAATTATGGTACATTCACACAATGAAATATTATACAGTTAGTTAAAATAATAATAAGAACAAGCAAACAAAATACCAGTTTCCATCGAGTCCACTGCAACTCATGGCGACCCCATGTGTGTCAGAGTAGAACTGTGCTCCATAGGGCTTTCAGTGGCTGATTTTTCAGAAGTAGATCACTAGGCCTTTCTTTCTAGGTGCCTCTGAGTGGACTCAAAACTCCAACCTTTCGGTTAGCAGCCAAACGTATTAACTGTTTGCACTACCCAGGAACTCCCAAAATAATCATACTGTCATTAAAAATAATGTAGATTTAAATTTAAGGAAATATGTTTACTCCCCCTCACATACCTTTTCTTTAGAGTCTAACTTTGTTCATAATTTTGTATTTGCTAGTATGATTATTCATTGTCTGACTGTCCACTGGGTTGTGAGCTCCATGAGACCAAGGACTTCATCTGACTTTGCTCACTGGTGTATTCTTTGTGCCTAGCAAGGTGCTTGACACCTAGACAATGATTTCATGTATGAGTGTGTGTGAGTAGGCATGTAGATAATGACAAACATCCAGAAAACTATTAATGTCAAAAACAGTTGCTGTCAACTTGATTCCTACTCACAGAAGCCTCATGTATGTCAGAGTAGAACTGTGCTCCATAGAGTTTTCAGTGGCTGATGTTTCAGAAGTAGATCACTAGGCTTTTCTTCCAAGTTGCCTCTGGGTGGACTCAAACCTCCAGCCTTTCAGTTAGCAGCCAAGCACAGTAACTATTAGCACCACCCAAAGACTCCTATAATATCAGGCAGGTTTTATCTCTGGGTGGTGGGCTTATTGGTCCAACCTCTGTTCAAATCCCTGTTCCAGCATATAACTGCCTAACTTGGGCAAGTGTCTTATCTAAGCCTCCTACATGATGACTACAGATACCTGAGTGGTAAATAAATATGATACCTTGTAAATACCACACACATGCTTAAACTTCTAAGCTATATAAAGTTTCATTGATTATAGAACTACAATCTAATACTTTTGGCTCTTATTTTTTTAATAGTGAACTTCTGCAAGATCTGGAAAACTGTGAAAATGATCCTGTGGCCATAGCCGAATGTTTTGTGTCCAAGGTAAGCAGGCTTCATTTCTCTGGGCCAACCAAGACAGTACACAGTACAGATGGTCTTTAGTTTCAAAGTTGAAATGATGGGTTTGTCCATATTGAATGAAGTTAGCCACTGATGTCTCTCACTCTTTTTTTGTTTGTTTTTAAGTAGCAAAGAAAAAAATATGCTGTTACTGGGAGAAGGGAAATGCTAACTTAGTAGTTGTCCTAGAACTTGTGTAGTAACTGAATGATTTTACTCTCTCCTAGGAAAAATTTTTAAGTTTAGGAAGGGAATCCAGAATAGAAGAATATTAGAAAAATAGTTACATGTAAAATGTTACTAGGTTAGTGTTACGGATTGAATTGTGTCCCCAAAAAATATATGTTATAAATCCTAACCTCTGTGCCACTGGTTATAGTCCCGTTTGAGAGTGGATTGTCTTTGTTATGTTAATGAGGCAGGATTAGTGTGCCTTTGTTGCTGTTAAGTGCCATCCATTTGGTTCCTACTCATAGTGACCCTGTGCACTACAGAGCAAACCGCTGCCTAGTCCTGTGCCATACTCAGAATTGTTGCTATGTTTGACCCCATTGTTGCAGCCACTGTGTCATTCCATCTCATTTTGAGAGTCTTCCTCTTTTTTGCTGACCCTCTACTTTACCAAGCATGATGTCCTTCTCCAGGAACTGATCCCTCCTGATAACATGTCCAAAGTATGTGAGATGAAGTCTTGCCATCCTTGCTTCTAAGGAGCATTCTGGCCGTACTTCCAAAACAGATTTGTTCGTTCTTCTGGCACTCCATGGTATATTCAGTATTCTTCATCAGCACCATAATTCAAAGACATCAATTCTTCTTCCATCTTCCTTATTTATTATCCAGCTTTCACTTGCATATGAGGTGATTGAAAACACCATGGCTTGAGTCAGGAGCACCTTAGTCTTCAACTAAGACTTTTTAACACTTAAAGAGATCTTTTGCACTTAAAGAGGTCTTTTGCAGCAGATTTGCCCAATGTGATACATCCTTTGATTTCTTTACTGCTGCTTCCATGGGCATTGATTATGGATCCAAGTAAAATGAAATCCTTGACAATTTCAGTATTTTCTCCATTTATCATGGTATTGCTTATTGGTCCAGTTGTGAGGATTTTTGTTTTCTTTATATTGAGGTGTAATCCATATGGAAGGCTATAGTCTTTGATTTTCATCAGTAAGTACTTCAAGTCCTCTTCACCTTCAGCGAACAAGGTGGTGTCATCTTCATATCACAGGTTGTTAATAAGTCCCCCCCTCCAGTCCTGATGCTGCATTCTTCTTCATATAGTCCAGCTTCTCGGATTTTTTGCTCAGCATACTGATTGAATAAGTATGGTGAAAGGATATAACCCTGACACACACCTTTCCTGACTTTAAGCCACACACCTTGTTCTGTTCGAAGAACTTCTTGGTCTAAGTACAGGTTCCTCATGAGCACAATTAAGTGTTCTGGAATTCCAGTTCTTTGCAGTGTTATTCATAATTTGTTAATGATCCACACAATCGAATGCCTCTGCATAGTGAATAAAACATAGGTAAACATCTTTCTAGTATTCTCTGCTTTCAGCCAAGATCCACCTGACATCAGTAATGATATCCCTCGTTCCACATCCTCTTCTGAATCTGGCCTGAAAGTAGTATTAATGATATTGTTCGATAATTTCTGCTTTCTGCTGGATCACCTTTCTTTGGAATGGGCACAAATATGGATCTCTCCCAGTCAGTTGGCCAGGTAGCTGTCTTCCAGATTTCTTGACACAGACGAGTGAGCACTTCCAGCCTTGCATCCATTTGTTGAAACATGTCAATTACTATTCTGTCAGTTGCTGGAGCCTTGTTTTTTGCCAGTGCCATCAGTGCAGCTTGGACTTCTTTCTTCAGTATCATCAGTTCTTGATTATATGCTACCTCCTGAAATGGTTGAACGTTGACCAATTCTTTTTTGTACAGTGACTCTGTGTATTCCTTCCATCTGCTTTTGATGCTTCCTGCATCATTCAATATTTTGCCTTAGAATCCTTCAATACTGCAACTTGAGGCTTGAATTTTTTCTTCAGTTCTTTTGGCTTGAGAAATGCTGAGCATGTTCTTCCCTTTTGGTTTACTAACTCCAGGTCTTTCACATTTCATTATAATACTTTGTCTTCTTGAGTCACCCTTTGAAATCTTCTGTTCAGCTCTTTTACTTCATCATTTCTTCCATTCACTTTAGCTACTCTGCGTTTAAGAGCAAGTTTCAGAGTCTCTTCTGACATCCATTTTGGTCTTTTACTTCTTTCCTGTCTTTTTAATGATCTTTTCTTTCTTCGTGTGTGATATCTTTGATGTCGTTCCACAACTTGTCTGGTCTTCAGTCATTAGTGTTCAACGCATCAAATCTGTTCTTTAGATGGTCTCCAAATTCGGGTGGGACATACTCAAGGTTGTATTTTGGTTCTCATGGCCTTGCTCTAATTTTCTTCAGCGTCAGCTTGAACTTGCATGTGAGCAATTGATGGTCTGTCCGGCAGTCAGCCCCTGGCCTTGTTCTGATTGAAGATATTGAGCTTCTCCATGGTGTCTTTCCACAGATGTAGTCAATTTGATTCCTGTGTATTCCATCTGACGAGGTCCACGTGTATAGTTACTGTTTATGTGTGGAAAAAAGGTATTTCCAATGAATAAGTCACTGGATTGCAAAATTCTATCATGTGATCTCTGGCATCATTTCTATCACTAAGGCCATATTTTCCAAGTACCAATCCTTTTTGTTTCCAACTTTCGCATTCCAATCACCAGTAATTATCAATGCATCTTGATTGCATGTTTCATCAATTTAAGACTGCAGAAGTTGGTAAAAACCTTCAATTTCTTCATCTTTGGCATTAGTGGTTGATGGGTAAATTTGAATAATAGTCATATTAACTAGTCTTCCTTGTAGGCATATGAATATTATCCTATCACTGACAGTGTTGTACTTCAGGATAGATTTTGAAATGTTCTTTTTGATCATGAATATGACACCATTTCTCTTCAATTTGTCATTGCTGGCATAGTAGACCATATGATCGTCTGATTCAAAATGACCAATACCAGTCCATTTAAGCTCACTAATGCCTAGGATATTGATTGTCTTAGGCTGGGTTCTCTAGAGAAGCAAAACCGTTAAAGCATGTAAATATATGTAGAGAGAGATTTGTGTCAAGGAAATGGTTCACGTGGTTGTAGAGGCTGCAACATCCCAAGTCCCTGGGTCAGGATAGAGGCTTCTCCAGATTCACATAGCTGCAGGGGCTGGTGAACCCAAGATCAGCAAGTCAGAGAGCAAGGCTCTGGCTCACAGGCTGCGAAGACTGATGAATCCCAAGATCACCTGGCAAGACCACAAGTAAGCTGCTAGCTCACATCCCAAGAACCAGAGGTCAGACGGACCGGAGCCAGCTTCAGGATCCAGCAGGAGCAAAAAAGCCCAAAGCCTTGTCAGAATCTCCGCTTATATTCGATGCAGGCCACATGCCCAAGGAAACTACCTTTCAACTGATTGGCTACTCACAGCAGATCCCATCTTGGGGGTGATCACATATCAGATCTCAACAAGGAAGTGATCACAACATTATAGGACTGCCAAAACACTGAGAATCATGGCCCAGACAAGTTGACACACAGTCTTAACTATCACATTGATCTTCATGCATTCCATTTCATTTTTGACAACTTTCAATTTTCCTAGATTCGTACTTCATACATTCCATGTTCTGATTATTAATGGATGCTTGCAGCTATTTCTTCTCATTTTGAGTCATGCCACATAAGCAAATGAAGATCCCAAAAGCTTGACTCCATCCATATCATTAAAGTCAGCTCTACTTTTAGGGGGCAGCTCTTCCCCAGTTTTATTTTGAGTGCCTTCCAACCTGAGGGGCTCATCTTCTGGCAGTATATCAGACAGTGTTCCACTGATATTCATAAGGCTTTCACTGGCCAATTTTTTCTAAAGTAGACCACTGCCAAGTCCTTCTTCCTAGTCTGTCTTAGTCTGGAAGCTCCACTGAAACATGTCCACCGTGGGAGACCCCTCTGGTATTTGAAATACCAGTGGCATAGCTTCCAGCATCACAGCAACACACAAGCCATCACAGTACGACAAACTGACAATTAGTGTAGGGTGCATCTTAAATCAGTCTCTTTTGAGATATAAAGGAGATTATACAAGCAAGCAAGAGAAGCAGAGATGGGGGAAGAGAGATGCCAAGCCACATGAAGATTGCCCAGGAGCAGAAGCTCAGAAGAGACAAGGGCCTTCCTACAGAGCAAACAGAGTAAGAAAGCCTCCAAGAGCTGGTATCCTGAATTCAGACTTCTAGCCTCCTAAACTGTGAGAAAACAAATTTCTGTTTGTTATAGCCACCCACTTATGGTATTTCTAGTATAGCAGCACTAGATAACTAAGATAATCGGTTATAAATAAAATCAATTGGAATCTAAATATTTTACATATAATATATATGACACTAACCTACACTCTAAAATTATCTCAATTTCTAAATTTAGAAAAATCTAAATTGTCTAAAATTTGGGATCAAAGAGAAGCAAAGTTAACCTCCTACCTCTTAAAAAGGCTCTCTAACTTTCCTATGTTTTTTTATTTAGCGTTATTTTTATTTTAGTAAATACACAGATAACAAAACACTTGCCATTTCTACAATCTTCACATGTACAGTTGAGTGACATTAATCATGTTCATCAGGTTCAACTGTCACCATTAACCATTCCTGAGTTTTCCCATCACCCCTAACAAAAACTGCATTGGTGATTTAGAAAAATACAAGGGAAGAATTTGACTTCGAAAGCTTCAATGACAGTCAGTTGGTGCTGGGTACCTGGATAGGAGCTAGAGATCTGAAACATACAAGGCAATCCTTTACAATGGTACTTTCTCACCTAGCTACCTTGTATATGCAGAATGTTATCTGGCTATCAAAGTGGCTTTTAAAAATTCAACAG